TAACCTTTGATTCCCAATATAAATTACCAATTCCATTAAAGGAAACTTCAATTTCTAGACTCGATATAAACAGTGAAGTTGCTAAAACTATTAAAAAGGCCCAACTTCTCATTATTGATGAATGCACCATGGCATCCAGTCATGCTATAAATGCCATAGACAGATTATTAAGAGAAATTATGAATCTGAATGTTGTATTTGGTGGAAAGTTCTCCATCTTGGGATTTTCGACAATGTCTCAGTATTGTACTGCATGCTATGCGATCGGCCATTAGTACAAACAAGTTTATAGTACTGTAATGTTTGGGGATATTTCAGAAAGTTGTCTATTACAACAAATATGAGATCAGAGGATTCTGCTTATAGTGAATGGCTAGTAAAACTTGGAAGTGGCAAACTTGATAGCAGTTTTCATTTAGGAATGGATATTATTGAACTCCCCTATGAAATGATTTGTAATGGATTATTGAAGCTGCCTTTGGAAATAGTATATCTATAGATAATATTAAAAATATATCTAGCCCTAACTGGTTTGGCTCAGTGGATAGAGCGTCGGCCTAAGGACCGAAGGGTCCCAGGTTCGATTCCGGCCAAGGGCATGTACCTTGGTTGCGGGCACATCCCCAGTAGGAGGTGTGCAGGAGGCCGCCGATCAATGTTCCTCTCTCATCGATATTTCTAACTCTCTATCCCTCTACCTTCCTCTCTGTGAAAAATCAATAATATATATGCAATTCTTCGTCCAAAAAATGGGCACATTAAAAAATTAAGTGAAGAAATTTCAGATATATTCGATGGAGATTTTCACACGTATTTGAGTGATGATTCCATTGACTCAACAGATGATGCTGGAAAGGAAAATGTTCCCATCGAATTTCTTAATAGTATTACTCCTTTGGGAAGGCCGTGTCATAAATTAAAATTGAAAGTGGGTGCAATCATCATGCTATTGAGAAATCTTAATAGTAAATGGGGTCTTTGTAATGGTACCGATTTATTATCAAAAGATTACGATCTAACATTATCGAAGCTGAAGTATTATTAACAGGATCTGCAGAGGGAAAGTCTGTTCTAATTCCAAGAATGATTTGTCCATCTGACACTGGGCTCCCATTTAAATTGATTTGACGACAGTTTCCTGTGATGCCAGCATTTGCGACGACTATTAATAAATCACAAGGACAAACTCTAGACAGAGTAGGAATATTCCTACCTAAACCCGTTTTCACACATGATCAGTTATATGTTGATTTCTCTAGAGTTTGAAGAGCATGTGATGTTAAAGTTAAAGTTCTAATTACTTCATCACAAGGGAAATTAGTCAAGCACTCTGAAAGTGTTTCCACTCTTAATGTGGTGTACAGGGAGATATTAGAATAAGTTTAATCACTTTATCAGTCGTTGTTTATAATCTCTCACACTTCTATTATAGAGAAAGGGAAAATAGCAACATTAAAATATTTCCTCTAATTAATTCCCTTTTAATGTGCAAATTTTGTGCACCGGGCCACTAGTATGCTACATAATACAGCAGGCCTGCTCACAGGGGTGGGGAACTAGGAAATAATGTATAGGAACTTCTTGATTTCATCGTACAAGACAAGTACAAAAGCACCACCCAGGCCTCTGAGAATACTAGACGACGCATCCTTGTAAAAGCTTTGCCTCCTTAGTCAGGAGCAATCTTCCTCCAGCAGCCCAGCACTCTGTGAACACGACATCAGTTCGTCCCTGCTGACTGCATCATCAGGCTACAAGGAAACTTGTGAAACAGATGAAGTCACCCCTGCCATCGCCAGGGCAGGACTGTGCAGTGACCAGCTGAGGAAGATGTGGGCATTCTGGAGATCTGGAGCATTCCCTTTGCAGTGCCACAGGTGCCGAAGCAGGCAGCTCGGTAGGTGACAGTACCCTACAGTCACCCTGAAGCTCTGTACAACCCTTCATCTCACTGGATTTGGAGATCTGAACCAGGCAGTCATCAGAGACACTGACTTCCCTCTCACTCCAGCTTTGCCCACATCAGCTGCTAGACCAGTACGGGCAAAATCAAGGTACACAAAACAAAGCGGGAGGGGGGAGCCCAGTGGCACCACCTGATGCTGATTCCCTGCAAGTAGCTCCAGAATTGGGTTCTCGTGTCCACAGCCCCCAGGACAATGTGCTTGTATTTATCTTCGGAGACAAAGTTGAGAGCCCAAGCGGGGAAGGATCTGTTACCAGCCAGAAGGACAGGGCTCCCTGCTCCTTGGGGATGGGACCCAGGTAGCCTACAATGCCCTGGCATCTGCTTATCTGCCGGGACTTGCTGACAGGGTGCAACTGCAGCCACAGCTCCACCCACTCCGTGGGGAATACCACCGGCTGGGAGATGGCCACAGCTGCTCCACCCGACAGGAAGTCCTTAATGAAGAACACAGCGGCATCTATGATACTGAAAGGAGAGAAGCAGGAGACTGCAGGACTGGGCTTGTAACCAGCTGGGACTCTAGTTGGCTGTATACTCTTAACGAAAGTTAGTGTAAGACGAGAAGTATTGCAGAAAAATTGAAATTTTTACATAATAATTTTGTTATTGGAGACTTCGGTATAGTTTATTCTGAAACTTTTTTATGTGTATTGCAAGATAGAGTAAATGAATAAATATATTGATATCTATTGCTAAGATGGAGAATTCTCACTTTGGGAGAAAGGAGATACACAGATGAAACAGGAAAAAGAAAAAACCCTGTGGTATTGAGTTAGAACTGACGGAAGGGAGAGGAGGAGGAAGGTAAGGAGTAGGGAGTTTTGGGAAGGGGGAGGCAGGAAGGAAGAAGGGGGAGAAAGGAGGGAAGGAGTGAGTGAGGGAGGAATGAAAAGAGGGGAAAAAAGAAATTGAACCGTGTTTCCCATCTCTGTCCACTTAAAGGGCCTAGAAGTCATGATACTCCAGTAGCAAGACCATGCCAAACATTCAGATATGAGCTGGGGCAGGGACAGGACATGAACCTGGAATATGGTACTGTGTCAAACTGAGGAAATGCTCAAAAGAAAGGACCTGAGAGGCAGGTTAAAGGCACCCCACTGTCCAAATGTAAGACAATTTAGCATCAAAAAGAAAAATGAAAATAATACATCAGATTTAAAGAGAATCCAGGGGTTAAAAGTGAGACTAATAAATGCGGTATCCTTTACAAATGAATGCCAAGTAATAAATGTATGAGGAATAATAACTAGAAAACCAGCATTTTGCATCCACGAGCAAAAAAATCACTCAGCAAAAATCATCAATTGATCTAAAATCATAGGATGAAATTCTATTGGGGAATAGGATATTCATATGGTCTCAAAATATCAATGTATAGTGTCTACTACAGGAAAATGATAACTACTGTTACAATGTACAGCAAGCATGTCAAACTCCTGGCCCACAGGCTGCATGCAGCCCACAATGAATATTTTTGCGGCCCAGCCAATATGAAGGTATGTAAGAAATAAAAACTTAATAATTTTATTAATTTTTATAAATTTTAAATTAATAATTTTTATTAATTTTAAAATTTTTTATAAATTTTGTTTTAATAAAAATTTTGTAACTTAATTTACAATATCCCATTATACATAATTATTAATAACGAACTACAACATTAGCTAATGACTGATTATTATAATCGTGGTGCATTCATTTCCTTTATGCACCTTATGTGCCTTATGCGCAGGCACACCATTTCTCTCCACTAATACTAGCAGCGAATATTTTTAGCAGCCGATTGCCACATCATTAGTCTTGTACTGACTTGTTCAGTGTGCACAACAGGAAATATTGCACTTTCAGAGAACAAGAAAAATAGGTTTATTTGCATTACACTTATTAATTTGTGCAGTTATTCAGTGTTTGGTAAGTTAATGTTCAAAAAAAAATATTAATTTTTCTTAAAATGTTCTATTGTTTTATGTTAAGGATTACTCATTTATTTCAGCCCTTTGTATTCTGTATGTCTCTATCAAAATAAGCCTACGTTTCTATGAAAATCGAAGTTTTTGTTTTCTTGCCATCCACATAAACTTAAACCTTGTTTATTTGGCCCGTGATAGCCTTTGAGTTTGACATCTTGATGTACAGAGACGCAGACTCCACCCTAAGTGATCAAACAGTGTAACCCAGTGGTTCTCAACCTGTGGGTCGCGATCCCTTTGGCGGTTGAACGACCCTTTCACAGGGGTCGCCTAAGACCATCCTGCATATCAGATATTTACATTACGATTCATAGCAGTATCAACATTACAGTTATGAAGTAGCACCGAAAATAATTTTATGGTTGGGTCACAACATGAGGAACTGTATTTAAAGGGCCAGAAGGTTGAGAACCACTGGTGTAACCGATAACAGAGCAAACTGGTATTGCTTGCTCCTGATGTGATGCAAGTGATGCAACGTAGTCTTCCTGCCCAATGTATTTGACCTGAATCCCATCATGAGAAAACAACAAGGAAAATCTAGAATAAAGGCCTAAAATACAAGAAAAATAACTAGACTCTTCTAAGACGGCACTCCTGAAAGCCCCTCAAAAATACAACAACAGAACAAGGAAAGCTGGAGAGCAGAGCTGAAGATTAGAAGAGACTAAAGCAGTGGTTCTCAACCTTCTGGCCCTTTAAATACATTTCCTCATGTTGTGACCCAACCATAAAATTATTGTTGTTGCTACTTCATAACTGTAATGTTGCTACTGTTATAAATCGTAATGTAAATATCTGATATGCAGGATGGTCTTAGGCAACCCCTGTGAAAGGGTCGTTCAACCGCCAAAGGGGTCGCGACCCACAGGTTGAGAACCGCTGGACTAAGGAGACAGGACGACCTAACTGGATCCTAGGACAGGACAGCTTACAGGATATTTGGAGGAATTTGAATATGGACTGTGGTTTAAACAACAGTACTTTATCAACATTAACTACCCAGGGAATCACATACACATACTTTTCCAGAAGTTCGGGGACACAGATAATTAGCATACCTTCGATGGATTAATTACAATATTTCTGGCTGAGCCATGTTCGTCTCCCGTAAAGGCCGGCTGATTGCTGAAGCCTTGCTTTACATTCACAGCAGTGAGTTCATCCTGGTCAAGAAAAGGTATTGATTAATGAGAAGGATGTAAAAGCTCCAACTTAACCCCTCCTACTACAGCCTAGCGACTAACTTTGTTGTACTCTGAAGAGAACTGTTGAATGCACACCAAAAGAAGCAAAAATTAAAGTTTAAAAACCAATATATAAATGTATAGAAAGAGATCAAGTGAACGTGGCAAAATGTTGACAATTATAGACTCTAGCTGTATGGTACATGGGTGTTCCTTATATTATTCTTTTAACTTTTCTGTAAGTTTGAAAATTTTTAACCAATTAAGTTGGGAGAAGGTAATGAGCAAAAATTCCCCCCACACAAACACATAAATCATAGGATTTTCAAACGAGAATTGTTTTTAGAGAACACAGTTTGAGTCTTCCTTCCTTGCCAGCCCCTAGGCACACCCCTATTTTATATTCAAGAACACTGACTCACTCAACTAACCCAAAACCCCATAGCAAGCTAAAGACAGAAATGAAAGGCTCTTAGGCACAGCTCTGTGATAACCACACAACACAATGACCTGCAACTAAAGGAATGTTTGGTACTTGCAAAGTTCTCTCATACATCTTGGCTCACTTGATCTTACCAATTCTGTGGCAGACAGCAGGTGTAGGTCTTCATGCCTATTTACAGGTGAGAAGAGTGAGGTTCACTAAGCTAGTGCCAACACTGGAATACTGCCTTTCAATCCTAGACTAGGAAGATAACTTTCCCTGACACCATGCCACGAAGTATAAATGCCACATAAAAATGTGGTCTAAAAATACAGAGCTACCACTTGTACTCTCCATAAAAAGATCTCTTCCTGGTAGACACAGGAACTTTTCTTTCCAAGGTCACACACATCAAAACTAGCCCAGGCTGCAAAATCGAAAACCTTGCCCCTGCCACATCACTGCGTTATAGAGTTCCTAAAACACACATTGAAAGTATAAAAGGGAAAGGTTTGAGTAAATGAAGCTACTTTCTGCTCCCCTCACTCCAAGCCAAGAAATGGTCTTAGTAACCAATAGGGTAATGCTGTCCACAGCACAAGAATGAGAATATATAGTTATTCCTCATAAGTAATTGCTGCAAGTGTAAAATGAAAAGAAAAAAAAATCAGCTGACCAAAATAACCACTGTGGTTAGGCAGGAAGCTTCAGAACAAAATAGTTCATAACTATTCATAGCATGTGAACTGAGATGAAAACTGAAGTGTCCCGGAGACCTGCCATGCCACGCTACCCAACTGTGTGTGCTCTACCTAATACTTCAGTGAGCCACTGCTCTGGTGAGTTTTCAAAAGAGCCTGCTACAGGAAATGCAGCTCTGTGACAACCAAGTATCCTCCAAGCACATGAGGTGACTGGAGTAACAATCTGCACAGAAAATGACTGCACACACATCAGAAGACACCTCAAACTGACTACACATTTTCAAGTCAATTATTTGAAAGTCTAGGGTCAAACTACATGATGATTTCAGTAGTATCAGAGTCTAAGAATGAAGGGGCACAAATGAGATCATGAGAGAAAAGGGATGGGAAAATTGAATCTTATCTTTCTTTTACCATCACATTATTACAAGAAACTTTAATTGAGTGACAGCATATGTTTTTAATAAAAATATGTCTGGTTTAATCAAGAGGAGATGTGTGAGGCTTAAGGACCAGACAGTTTCATTTAGTGCTGCTTAACTTTCTATTCTAAATTAGCACCAGCTCAGTTAGCTGCCTATTGTATGTGACTGCTAACCAGTGGCCTGGAGAGACATGCCCTGTATGCATGCACACACAAAGCCTCAGAAGGAAAAGCATGGAACCATGATTGGATATCTCTCAACCACATCAGATTTTCCTCAAACAAGGATTCACACAGGTGCTACTGGAAGCCTTGGATCCTGAGAACTTTTTAATCTGGTATTCTAAATTGCACCCAAATGCATCCAGAATCTGCCCACTATCACTACCACCTCAGGCCAGGACCACCACCAGAATCTCAGGCTTGGACACTGCAGTAGCTCCGAATCTTGGATCTATCTGGTCTCCCCGCTAGTTCCACCCTTGCCCACTGCAGACCATTTTCAACACAGCAGCCACATGGTTCTTAAAACATGAGAGCATGTCACTCCTGCTCAAAATCTGCCTTAACTCCCCAACTCAGAGTATAAGCAAAGGTCCGTAGATGGCCTACAAGCCCCTATGTGATCTGGTCCCTATTACCTTTCTGAGCTCATTCCTACACACTTCCCCTTTGCTCACTCTACTCCAGCCATGCGGTTCTCATTGCAGTTCCTTCCTCCAAAATGCCAGGTGAATGGGCCATTGCACTGTCTGTTCCTGTGCCTGGACTGCTCTTTCTCATGGGATCCACACGGGCAACTCCATCACCACCTAAGTCTTTGCTCAAATTTCACATTCTCAGTGAGAAATTCTGATGACCCTATTTAAAACTAGAACTGCTCACCCTACTCCCTTCATACCAGCACACCTAATCTTCCAATAATCCATAGCACTCATCACCTAAAGCACCATGTAACTGACTTACAACAAGTATCGTCTGTTTTCCCTACCAGAAGGTAATCCCCATGGGGCCAAGAATCTATATTTTATTCACAGATTCATGCCAAGCACATAAAGCTGTGTCTGGCACATAGCACACAGGCTTTCAACAATCATTGAAAGAATAAATAAGTGAATGATAAATCTGTTTGAATACTTAACATAATAAGTATATTCTGAATCACTACTCCATCCATGACTCTGGGGTCTGTAATTGCCCAATTAATTTAACAAGGAGGTCATTAGAGTGAGGTGGTTCTAATGTCCTGGCACCTAAATAAGAAAACCAAACTAAGCCTCTAAATGCCTCAATGTTACAAAAGCAGAACCTAAGGATGGGCCATCACAAACAGCCAACTAACTATAGACAATCAATCATTTTTTTACTTTGCTTCTACCTTTTCTTTATAAAGGTTTTTTCTCAGCTCCAGACAATGGAGCACTTCTAACCACTTCTGGTTTGGTGCTGCCTGATTTAAATTGAGTTTTGCTCGAAGAAACTCCTGAAGTTGTAATATGTCTCAGTTTATCTTTCAACTGTTCTGATGTCAGACATGGGACCCTAAGGAGACCTTCAACAGTCCCCAAGAACAAGAAGCAGCCAGGTACGGTTGCCCACTGAGCCCGCCTTGCTCAATGCTTTCTCCCTGCATCTGGAGTGTGCAGGTATCTGTGATCCAAAACTTTTGCATTTAAAAGAGCTCTCCAAATTTATCTAAGCATTTCTTTCAACAGACTGGGTCTGAGGCCAGCCAATTTAACAGAAACTGGACTGGATCCAACTTAGAACCCAGATTGGTTCTGAGGTCTTCCTGGGTCCAACTTAAGATGGACTGGGTCCAGGGTAAGGCCTCAAGTATCAAGAATGACAAAAAGAGAAAAATTTATCTCTCTGGCTCCACATAATCTGGAATTCCTCCATCTGGGATGCCAGCAACTACATGTATAAAAACTGGTCCCAGACACTGTATTTTCTGAATCAGTGGGTTAACCTTACCAAAGATAATCTGGAATTACCTTGGCCAAGTAGGGAACTTTTAACCTAGAAAGGCTTATCCATTCACAAGATGCTCTAGAAAAAAAAAGGGTCAAATTTCCCCACACACACAAAAAAAACAGGATGCATTTTTATTGGTATGCAGCAGCTTTTAAGAAACTAAATGAATCAAAAATGCCCTGGATTCCAAAATAGCAGCAGAATAAGTGAAAACTACACTGACACTCTCCCAGGACCAAACTGGAAATGTAACTAAAATACAGAAATACCACCCTGAAATATCAACTGAAGACTAGCTGGAGAGAACCCTGATAACCAAGGACAGAAAGTGGAGACGACAGCCTCTAGAACAGGGGTGGGCAAACTTTTTGACTCGAGGGCCACAATGGGTTCTTAAACTGGACCGGAGGGCCGGAACAAAAGCATGGATGGCGTGTTTGTGTGAACTAATATAAATTCGAAGTAAACATCATTACATAAAAGGGTACGGTCCTTTTTTTCAATAGTTTTACTCATTTCAAATGGGCCGGATTCGCCCGCGGGCCATAGTTTGCCCACGGCTGCTCTAGGAGGAAGTGCAAAGGTGCAAAGAAGCCGGCCAGGCTCCCATAGATGGGAGCTGAAGCTCTGAAGGGATATCTCGCTATTCGCCTGTGGGGGTTCCCACTGAGGACTCGGGGGTCTAAATCTCAAGCCGAGTTCCCAGCTTAGAGCACCAGAACTGAGAAAGGTGCCCACATAGCATCTAGCTCTGAAAAACAGAAGGGTTGCTATCTGCCAGGGAAGGACGGCTGGAAATGCAGGCACCCTTTTAAGGGCCAACACAAAAAATTCTGTGTGCAACTACACACCTTGGGCTCTGGCAGAAGGAAGGCAGAGTACACTGGAGCTGCGTGAGCACAAGCCAGGATTGGAGGTTCTGGGGTTGGAGCCGGAAGGCAGCCACCCCCCAGTTTCTGGTGCTATGCCATTCCCTCACATTGTGCAGGAAATCTTTCTCCCATGAACCTCTGCTATGCAAGGGGTTTATGCCTGAGGGGAAGTCAGCTGACCCACCCTATTCGAAGACCTCTTGGTTCATAGCCTGAGCCTAATCAAGACCGAATCTCAACAGGACTGCAGGCAGAGTAGGACCTCTGGATGCTTTGAGTCTTTGTCTTATCTAATCCAGGGCAGGGGCTAGGAAAAGCAGACCCTGGTGCACATCTTGGTCCTTTCCAAAGGCAAAAAGAACCAGTAGAGGGAGGTACAAGCTATGGATTGCTGATAGCTCCAAAAAGGGTATTCAAGGCCAGTCACAAACAATGTCTGACATTGTCCTGCACTAGAGATTGGGAAGAGTAGCAGATCCACCTAGTACACAGACACAAACCCAAACAGGAAGCCAAAATGGGGAGACAAAAAAAAAGGCCCAAATGAAAACAAGACAATTCTCCAGGAGAAGAGCTAA